AATTAATGAAAATTCTGGTGATAAGTCAAGTGGTGATGTAAATGCTAAGGAATCGTCCACTGTTCCTCAGTCACTAAGTCATAAAGCCTCCGTACGATCCACAAAATCCACTAGATCTACGCGATCCACGCGATCCACTAAATCCGTACGTTCCCAAAAAGCGATAAGTAATGCCATTTCTTTATATACATCAACAGATTCAACACAAAATCCTATAGGTTCGGATGATGATTATGATATGTTGATGGAAGAAACGTGTGCCATATGTCTCGAAGATTTCGACGATGGCGATAAAATACGTGAATTGCCATGCCGTCATCATTATCATGTTGAATGCATCGATCCTTGGTTGACAACAAAAAGTAGTTCTTGTCCTTTATGTAAAAAAGATTGCAAACCCTCTATTGGTGGTGGGAACAATGAAAATACTTCAGTCTCCGTCAATATTGAGAATGAAGCACATCAATCACAAACTAATCAGAACTCAATGAATGCTAACCATCCAAATGTTGTTTTGAGGATGGGCAGATTGCTTAGAGGGTATCTTTCATCACGAAATAGAGGGATGAATAGCACAAGAAATATAACGACAAATCCTTCGGAAAATGAAAATGGGGTGGAACTAGAAAATGTTCGGTCCACTAATTAAGCAAACAATAAATTACTACCACCCGTAATTGGGAAAATTGTGCATTATTCACCTTTTTCAACTCTTTATTTTCTTTATGTAACAAAATGTTATGTATATTTAATTTTAAGTGATTATAGTATGTAATGTAAATTATTATCACTAGTTGTGTTTATAATTATTAGTCTTTATGCATTTATTGTAGTATTATGTTAGCCATATTTATCAAATTTTTATATAAATTTTTTATTTAAAAGATGTTTATCTAACATGAGCTACTATTTAGAATATAAAATAATCTTTGTTCGTGAAAGATTAATAAAAAAAATATATATAAATATATTATTTTAAACGCTATTAAAAATGAGTGCCGCACAATTAAAAACATGCAAATTTGAATTTTCGGAAATTTCACTTTTCAGAAACGGGTTATATAAAAATTGAATCATGTGCCCGTTTCTGTAAAGTGAGATTTCGGAAAATCAAGATTTGACAAGTGACCGACTTAACATATGGGCCAATTTTTTCAATCGTACTAAAACAGATATAATTTGACACCTTTTTAAATCTTAAATAACTTTTGAT